TCTTTTTCTCACATTTTTTCATTTCCCTTCTTACCTTTCCCCTACCCCTCCCACTTCCTCTATTCCTTTAGACCATTTCTTCCTATTATCCAATATCAATTATACATTGTGACCCTTGCTTGCACTTTCAGTTTTTCCTGCCAGAGAAACTATTTGGTATTTATACACGTGACATATTAATTTCACTTATGAGTATGGTCTCAATGCGCATCCATTTAGCTATAAATGACTCTAGTGTCTCATTCTTTATGGCAGAGTAGAACTCCATTTTATAGAGTATCTTCTTTATCCAGTCTCCAGTTGATGGGCAATTGGGCTGTTTCCAAATTTTAGCTATTAAAAACTGTACCCATATAAACATGGGTGAGCATATATCACTGTGGTATGAATCTTTTAATTCTTTGGGAAGATACCCAGCCATGAAATAGCTGAGTCAAATGGGATTTCTAATCCTAATTGCTTGAGGTATCTCCATATTGATCTCCACAGTGGTTGCACCAATCTGCACTCCCACCAAGGGTGTAGAAAGAAGTGTTTGTACCTCCCCACAACCCTGCCAACATTTGTTATTGGCTGATTTCTTGATAGCAGCCATTCTTTTTGGGTCAAGGTGGAATCTCAGTGTTGTTTTCATCTGCATCTCTCAAGCGATCAGTAATGCACATTTTTTCATATGTTTATTTGCTGCTGTTACTTCTTTGTCTGAGAAATGTGTTCATTTCAGATGCCCATTTTAGAATGGGACCTTTATTGTTGGGGGGCCTGATTTTTTTGAGTTCTTTATATATTCTAGACAGTAGACCTTTGTCTGAGGAGCAGCTGGTCTATTTTTTTCCCACATTGTAGGTTGTCTCTTAGCTCTTTTGATGGTTTCTCTTGCAGTGCAGAAACTTTTTAATAAGATGAGATCCCAGTTGTTGATTCTTTGTGCTAGTTCTCTCACTACTGAGGATTTGCTCATAAAGTCTTTTTCTATGCCAATGTCTTCAAGAGTTTTACCTAACTTATCTTCCAGCAAGTTTAGTGTTTCTGTTTTAATATTTAATACACTTGGATTTTAGTTTAGTGCCTGGTGAAAGATAGGGGTCTAGTTTTAATCTTTGGCAGGTTGAAATCCAGTTTTTCCAACATTATTAAAGAGGCTATCTTTCCCCCAGTGAGGATGGTTGGCTACTCTGTCAAAGATGAGGTAGCTGAGAACATCTGGAGTTGTTTCTGTAACTTCCAATTGATTCCACTGACCCTGAGGTCTATTTCTTTGCCAGTACCATGATATTTTTATCACAGTGGCTTTGTAGTATAGTTTCAAGTTGGGGATTGTAATACCCTCTGCCATGTCTCTGTTGCCTAGAATTGCTTTTGATATTCTAGGTCTTTTCTAGTTCCAAATGAATTTTTGGATTGTTTTCTCTAGTTCTGTGAAATACTGTTGGAATTTCAATCAGGATTGTATTGAATCTGTACAGCAGTTTTGGTAGTATGGCCATTTTCACTGTGCTTCCTACACAGGAGCAAGGGATATCGTTCGATTTTCTAATATCCTCTTTAATCTTTTTTATTTTTATTTTTTCAGAGTGCTGTAGTTCTCAATGTAGAGGTCTTTTGTTTCCTTTGTTAGATTGATTCCTAGACATTTCATTTTTTGGAATGCTATTGCAAAAGGGATTGTTTCTCTAATTTCTTTCTCAACAAGTCTGTTATTTGTGTACAAGAAGGCTATTGATTTTTGAGTGTTGATCTTTAATCCAGGTACTCTACTGAAAGTGTGTCAATTAAGTCTAGAAGTCTTATGGCAGAATTTCTTTGCTCTTTTATGTAGAGTATCATATCATCACAAATAATTACAGTTTAACTTCTTCCTTTCCTATCTTTATTTATTACATTAATTTCTTTCTCATGTCTAATTGCTGTGGGCAATTTTTCTAAAACTGTATTCAACAGGAGTGGTGACAGTGGACCATCTTTGTCTTATTCTTGATTTTAGTGTGAAGGTTTTTAGTTTCTGGTCATTTAAGATCATGTTGACTGTTGGTTTTACATAGATAGCCTTTATCAAGTTGAGACAAAGACTATCTATTCCAATTTTTGGAAGTTTTTTTTTTTTGTATCATGAATGGATGTTGAATTTTGTTGAATGCTTTTTCTGCATCTATTGAAATGATCAGAGGGTTTTTTTTTTTGGACTCTGTTAATATAGTGTATTACTTTTATTGATTTACATATATTGAACCATCCTTGAATCCCTGAGATAAATATGACTTGGTGAGGGTGCATGATATTTTTGATGACCCTCTGTATTATGTTTGCTAGTATCTTATTTGAATTTCTGCATCTATGTTCATTAGGGAGATTGGCCTGTAGTTCTCTTTTTTGGTTGGGTCTTTCCCTGATTTTGGAATCAAAGTAGCACTTGCTTCCAGGAATGAGTTTGGAAGTATTGCTTCCCTTTCAATTTCATTGAAAAATTTAAAGAGTAGTGGCAATAGTTCTTCTCTAAATGTCTTGTAGAATTCAGCAGTGAAGTCATCAGGACATGGGGTTTTCTTTGTTGGTAAATTTTAAAACTATGTTTTCAGTTTCACTGACTATAATTGGGGTGTTTAGAATTTTTGTCTGCTTGTTCAACTTTGGTAATTCATATGTATTTTGAAATCTATCAATTTCTTCTGTGTTTTCCATTTTATTAGAGTACAGTTTCTCAAAGTAGGTATTGATGATCCTCTGGATTTCTCCTGGGTCTGTTATGACTTCACCTTATTCATTTTTAATTGCATGGATCTGAGCCTTTTCTTTCGTTTTTTTGACAAGATTGGCTAAGGGTTTATCAATTTCATTTACTCTTTCAAAAAACCAACTCTTCAATTCATTGATTTTTTGTATCATTCTTTGTACCATTGCATTGATTTCTGCTCTGATCTTTATAATTTCCTCCACTGTACTGGCTTTTTTTTTTTTTTTTTTTTTTTTTTTTTTTGCTTTGCTTTTTCTAGGAGCTTAAGATTCATCATTAGGTTGTTTATTTGAGCTTGCTGTGTTTTCCTGGTGTGGGCATTCACTGCTATGAAGTTTCCATGTAGAACTGCTTTCACTGTGCCCCATAGATTCCTGTATGTTGTATTGGCATTGTCATTAAATTATACAAACTGTCTAATTTCTTCTTTAATTTCCTCTGTGACCCATTGATTCTTCAGGAGAGTGTTATTCAATTTCCATGTGTTTGTGAAGTTCTTACAGTTTCTTATGCTATTGATCTCCAGCTTAATTGTACTATGGTCTGATAATATACATGGGATAACTTAAATTCCTTTGCATTTATTTAAACATGTTTTATGAGCTAGTATGTGGTCTGTTTTGGAGAATGACCCATGTGCAGCTGAAAAGAATGTATATCTGATTTTGTGGGGTGGAACCCTCTGTAGATGCTTATTAAGTCCATTTGTTCAAAAATTTGGTTCAGTTCCAGTATTTCATTGCTGATTTTTTTTTGTCTAGATGATCTATTTGTGACAGTGGAGTATTTAGATCCCCCACTACAATTGTATTAGTGCTTATTTGTTTTTCATGTCCCTTAGTATTTGTTTTCTAATGAAGGCCACAACACCATAAGACCCAACAAAGCAAATCATTTAGGCAAGGCAAGAAACTAATGATAATGACTTATCATTTTCATGTTATTGTCCTGTTGTTGGCTCTTTTAAATTTTCCCCCATCTCCCTTTAGTTTGTTTTACTTTAGTTTTTACTTTTTGTTGTGGCCTTCATTGTCTTTTTCTAGGATATTATTTATAATTGTTTGCAGTGCTGTTTTGGTATTCATGAAGTTTCTCAGGTATTCTTTGTCACAGAAATGTCTTATTTCCCCATCCATTTTAAAATAGAATTTTGCAGGATACATCAGTCTGGGTTGGAGTTTTTTGTTGTTGTTGTTGTTGTTTTAGGGCTTGAAATACCTCACTCCAGGCTCTCCTTGACTTGAGGGTTTGTGTTGAAAAGTCTGCTGTGATTCTGATGGGCTTTCCTTTGCATGTAATTTGTTTCTTTTCTCTAACTGCGTGAAGCATTTTGTTCTTCTGTTGGGTTTTTGGAATCTTGACTATTATATGTCCAGGTGTAGATCTTTTTTGATCATGGCTAGTTGGAGTCCTATATGCCTCACTTATTTGCCTGTCAAATTCTTTTGCTGTTTGGGAAATTTTCTGTGATTAATTCTTTAATCAGACTTTTTATGCCATTTGTACTTTATCCTGCTTTTTCATGAATGGTGTCCTATCAGTCTTACATTCTTCTTCTTTGCATCATCTAGGAGCTATTGAATTGATTTCTCATCTTCCTTTACTATTTTTAAGAGCTCTCTTTTTTCATGGTCACTGACTGCCATTCTGTCTTCAATATCTGATAGTTTGTTTTAAGATTGGGTCAGTCCATTTTGTAGAGTTTCAGTAGAGTTTTTTTTTTAATCTCTTAGATATTTATTTGAATCTGTTTTATGGATTCCATTTCTTTCCTATGTTGGACATTCATGGCCTCTATCATGGTCCTGAACTCATCTATTTTTTTTGTCCGTTTTTGTTCTAGAGTCTCTACTCATGTCTTTCATTGTGCTCACCATCTCTGTAGTTATCTGGGAAATTATTTCTGTTTTGAATTTTTCTAGAGCCTGATTGATGTTTTGTTACTTCCTGTGCTATGAGTTCATGGTGTCCTGCTGATTGATCATTGGACTTTCCCACCTCATTTCCACTAGAATTTTCTATCAGTGAGCTGGTAGTCTGTATTTGTGCCTTGATTAATTGTTTTCTCATTTTTATTTTTGTTGTTGGTACTGTCCTTGGTTTAATTCCTGGGTTAGAACTTCAGTCTTCCAGATATAGCTGTTCTTTAGGTTTTGAGTCTCTAATAGCTCAGAGACACTCTCATTTTCATGATATCAGGAATGACAACTGATTAAATCAATCACAACCTTTTAGCCCAAGTGATACAATCAGCAACACAATAGCATCAAAAAATATGGAAGGCTTCATGAATTTTAATGTAATCCTTGTGCAGGGGCCATCTTAATCTACTCTGTATCATTCCAATTTTCATATATGTGCTGCTGAAGTGAGCACTGTTCATTAAACAGGCAAATTTTTTTCTGAAAAGTTATTACACCATATCAAGATGTATTGAAAAAGAAATCCCATTGTCCTAACAGCTCCCTGAGGACTCACTGCTTCCATCCAATGCAGCCCATGGGGCACCAGCATGAATAGTTTAAGCACAGAAAACCCAGATCTGCGTCACACAGAGTAAGTGTTTATCAATATTACACAGGAAATATCAAGTCACCCTACTTCCAGCCAATGCAGCCAATCTATTTGTACACTGGGTCTCCATTTATTCATTTTTTAAAATACAAAACTGACCTTTTATTGATGTAACAAAGGGGTTTAAAGAAAAGCCCATGCTAAAGCTAAAAATATGACCTTGACTCTGGAAAGGAAGTGGCAGGTTACAAAGGAAGAGAGCTGCGTGTTGCCTAAAAGGGTTAGAGTGGCCTAGATGAAGATGAAGACTGCAATTTGGACCAGAGCAATGAGTCTGTCCTTATTCTGTCCAGCTCTGCACTTTCATACTTTTCTTAGCAAGGAAGAACTGCACATTGATAGTTGTTCTCTGAATGCAACTATAGCTTGATCACATTTACAGCAGGGGTCAGTACTTCTGAATGAACTCTGGCCATGAGGTCCCAAGTTACACACCCCTCCAGGTGTGCCCCTGTAGGGACACCTGAGCGCTTGAAAAGAGCTTTGCATTACGGTCAGTATCATAGCATTTAAGTGAGCAGAACCAGGAGAGCAGTGACATTCAGAGGACATCTGAGGCCCGTTTACTTGTACTTCATGACTGCAGAGGGCTCATTCTCACACCAGTCCCCTCCACTGTGAAATGAGAAACCTGGACAGATTATTTTTAAGGTACCACTGGTCCCAGGAGCCTCTGACTGTGCTGTAACAGCAACATAAACGCCTACTTTCTGTCTAGTGGTGAATGGAACAGCTAACGGAGCACCAAGAAGTGTGCTCCTCTCTCCCATGAGGATTTTCTTAGTGACCTCACTCACACTGCCTGTCTACAGAGACGAGTAAGGTGTAGAAGGCGATCAGAGTAACACTGATGTTGATATATTAGGTGAGGGTTACTGGCCACAGCCCACTCTTTCAGTGGAGTAGAAACGGTTAGAAGGTATTTTACCAGTTACAGCATGTGTATGTGAGAGGAGTCTCCTGTTGGAAACTTTTCCAAAGTCTAATAAAGCTGTGCTTTGCTCCCTCTGACCTTGGCCCAGAGACAGGTAAGTCCCAAAACTTCTCCCACCTTATAAACACTGAGATGGGCTGTGAGAAAGGACTGTAAGGGTGCTATGTGAAAGCTTAGGTCAGCAAGTAGGCAGAAAATTGTCAAAACCATTAATCTAATTTATTGATAGCCTTAATGGGAGTATATAGGAAAAAAATTCTACTTTGCCCTGCAAATATTGCTCCAGCACCATCATCTAGAGGCCCCCAAAGTTAAGGAATCACACAATAAATGCACAGAGTTCTTGCCAGGAACTGGATGAAGGTGGAAATGAGAGGTAGAGAACATCAGTGAATTTCGGTGAGGCATCGCTCCTTTTTCCCCTCTTTTCCTTCTTGGTTTCTCTCCCTCTCTCCCTCTTTTCCTTTCTTTCTGCATTTGTGAGCCTCTGGCCTCAGTTTCCCTAAGTTCAGGCCTAGCTCTGGGCTGATGCAGCTTTGAGGAGCCTGGTGTGCCGTGTTCTGTGATGACCAGACTTTGAGAAGAGCAGCCATCATGGGGACCTCCCGGGTCCTCCGTGGAATGCCTACTCTTTGTCACCTTGGGCCTACCATCCTGGCATGCACTGGTAGTTCCAGTAGTGGAACCAGCAATGAGCACAAGAATAAATAATAATAAGTGAATATTCACATCATATAATACCATCAATTAATAATGACATGTAACTCATTAAATTGTCGTTTATTATCAACCACGCATGACTAAATTTATTCAAATTATCAATTATAATTAATATAATTATTTAATAATTATAAACAACAATTTGATAAATAAATAATAATGAATGGAGCCGGTGTTTTGGAGAGATCACAGGAAGGCTGTGAAGTGCTACTTGCACAAAGCAGTGAGGCCGTCTCCCTGGTGGCCCTTCCTGGGCTTATGGTCTATTTTCAGGGGGACATTGTCCTCTCAGGGAGGTTGGAGAGGAGTTTTGTCCTGAATCATGGCAATGAACACATGGAAATCAGATCTCTGCCGTGAGTACATCTGTTCCCAGGTGTCAGCCTGCAGAGCTGGGTCACTGGCCTGCTGCTGTGCTCCACAGGTTGTATTTTTTCCTTGCAACATTTGGTAGAACATTTCAGGCTGGGCTGGGAGGAGGAGGGGAGGAATATCTGAACCAGATGTTTGGGGGCCATCTCTCTGACACAAGTGAGGAATTAGCTGTAATCGATTATCCATGTTACCGGCACTCGTCTCTCCGGGCTGAGGAAGCAGGGCCTGGCTGGCTGCATCTTAACTGGAGGAGAAATAAAGAATGCTGAGGGTTATGAGAATGCATGTACCTGCTCATGGAGATCAATTCCAACAGAGGCTTTGGGAGTTAAGCAAAGATGGCTGCATAGGGCACCTGGCAGATGGGTCTGGGCTGACAGTAAGGAGACCTAGAGCCAGAGTGGCTGAAGAGATACACACGGCCTCTGCAGGCTCAGAACAGCACAGACATGCAGAAAGATCTCTCTGGGGGGCCAAGTAATGGGCTCAGGTGTAAACTGAATGAGACACCTGCCGAGGGTCATCCTGGGTGACACACACACCAGTGGCGGGAGTGGGCCAGGTGGCTGGTGAAGACCAGCTGGCCTGCCGTCCTCCCAGCCCTGCACAGCCTTGGTTTTATGTCAACCTCAAATTGTGGATGGGTAGCTGGTTGGAGAATATCGGGGAAATCTTCTGTGACCGATATGAGATTCGTAGCGCAAATAGAGATTCGAAGTAGGAGAAAGGCATGTTTCTTGCATGCATGGGGTCATGCCCTGTGATTTGCATTGCAAGAAAAATAAGTAAAATAAAGTGACAGCGATGTGGGGGCTGGAAGTCCCAATGGGGCACCTCAGAGATAAAAAGATGGTTATTATTCTCCCAAGGGAGGCAGGAAAGGATTCATATTCAAGGCCAAGGTCAAGATCGGAAGATGGCTTCAGGTCAGTTTTTAACAAGAAGTTAATAAAGATCTACCCTTTGTATTTATTTTAAACATCAAAGACTGGGTGAAGAGAGGATAACTTGAAACTTTCTGTGGCCAACTTTGGCTTCCATGGGTGGAGGCATACAAGGCATTATTCCGTTCTGGCCCATGCTCTGGCAGAGCTGCTATTCCTTATGCTCTGTGGGAGGAAGTGGGAGCTCCTGGCTGAAGAAGAACCGCTCCTTAAATCATTCCTCCTGCATGGTCCTTGTTTGCCTTCTGCTTCGAGTGGCTGTCTGTCTTGTTTGACTTGGGATGCTCTAACAAAATGCCACAAAACAGAGGTTTTGACAGTAGAAGTTTATTTCCTACAGCCCCGGAGGCTAGAGATTCAAGGTCAGGTGCTGGTTCATTTGGGTTCTGGAGGCATTTTTCTTCCAGGCTTGCACACAACCTTGTCTTTTCTCTGGGTGTTCACATGGCTTCTCCTCAGTGCTTGAGGAAAGAGTGCAAGCTCTGGTGAATCTCCCTCTTCTAATAAGGGTCCTGATCCTAGGCTCCCACCATTATGATCTTGTTTGAGCTTGATTACTTTTAGTACAGGTCTTATCTCCCATGTACAGTCACATTGGTGTTATGACTTGAACATATGAGCTTTAGGGGACAAAAGATCCAGACCATAGTATTTTCTCTCCATCTTTGCTAGAGATACAGAAGACCATGGGCTAGGTAGTGAGGGGAGTGCTGCACTTTTTCTCCACCCTGGAGTGGAGGCACCACTGACTGCCAGCACAGATACTTATATTTCTACACCAAAGCTACCCTGGACTGCTTCTGTGTGTATTGCACTATGTTAATTATGTCTTAATTTTTAAAATCTTTACATCAGTCTCAAACTAAAGACACCGTTACTTACCAAATCTAACTTAGAGAGGTTCATGATCATATAACATTTATTTCACACTAAATCTCGTTCTAAGAATATTACATGAGTAAATGCATTTAGTACTCACAGTAGGTCCAGGAAGGTGTGCAGAAAAGTGATCTAACACTTGAAAAGAAGGCAAAAAAGAATTGTACATTTCTTTTCATTTTTAACTTTTTTTTGAAATTTTATTACTTTATAGTTGAAATGCATAATATGAGGTAGATGGAAGAACACAGTGTATTTAGGGAAAATGGGAAGGGTAGGGGAAAGGTAATAAGGGAAAAGAAAAAAAATATGACACAATGAAAAAATGGAAATAAAGTGTTTGTAAATGGGGAGGGGAGGAGAGGGTGAAAGGACGGCAGGGACAAGGGGAAAAAATAAGAACCAAGACCTGTCATGTAGAGGTACAAGATCCCAATAATGAATGTAACTGTGCTGTATACCTAAAATGTACCAATAAACTCAATAAAAGAAAAAAATACACTTACAGTAAAAAGACACATTACCATTGGCACGGATCCTCCACAAAGTGCCCCCCTCCTTCATTCTAATCGCTTACCCCGTCATCTTGCCATTTTCTGAAAGCGGTTCTGGAACTCTTTTTGGGTTTGTGTCTTTCGTTAAGCTGTTATGGCTGCCTTTATGTCTGCATTCAGTTCAAAACGTTCACCGTTCATAGTCATTTTGACTTTGGGGAAGAGATGGAAGTTGCAAGGGTCAGGATGAATAAGGTGGACTAGGACACACCGCCGTGTTCTTACGAGCCCGCCTTTCTGTTGATGGTCCGCAGCAGCAGCAGCAGCAGCAGCAGCAGCAGCAGCAGCAGCAGCAGCAGCAGCAGCAGCAGCAGCGTTCACTGCATTTTTGGTAAAGACGCACTCAAAAGAGGAGTTCCAGAACTAGGAGAGGAACCAGAGTGACAGAATAGGTGT